TATCACGTAAACATAAGCCAGCGATTTATCTTTTTCCAATTCAGAATAATATCGTATAGCACCTCTCTTGATTTCTCTCAGTGCCTGCTGTTACTTTCTGAAGAAAAAAATATAGCTTTGCATTTAAAAAAAATTAGATCGACCTTCAGATATCCTGTACTATTCCACCCACTTCTGTCTTATCAAACAACTTTTGTAGGAACATGTTTTTAATAACTGTAATTCCTTACGAGGTATCCTGCTTATGTATCCTTATTATATCCTAATTTACACTAAAATTTCTGTACATACCAGATTATTAGAACATTTTCGTATGAAACAGTATAAAGTGATATTACATCGCTTGTTGAACATGAGTCATGCGAGAATAGAAACGCGTTTGATATCAATAATACTGTTTTAGCCATTCTAAATAATATATGAAAATTCCTATTTTTCTGAATCTAATGTATTCATTTCTCTTTTCATTTTTTAGGTTTAACACTATTTTTACCAAACGGGACAAAATACAGCTTTACATATTTTAATTCAACACCTCCGCACCCGTCCGATATTCGAAATTGCGGTGCCCATGCAGCCAGCTGAATTTCAATTTAAATACTGTGTACGAAAGAATGAATAACTAAATTAAATACCATTGTTTTATGTACAAAAGTATTCAATTTGCTGATACATAACGATGAAAATTCGCACGTTTGTGACTTCGACATCGTCTGCGGATTACACTTTAAAAGAATAAAAATAATAAATGACAACAATCGCATACGCAAAACATGATACAAAAATAAGTAGTTGTACAGTTCAAAACCAACTGATTCATGGTAGTTATATTCCTCAGTTTGTTTATTATTTTTCAAACCATTGAACTTATTACGCATTCTCTAAGATTTTTATAACCTTTTGCGACAACTTTTTAATCATACTCTGAAAAAGGTCAATAGATTTTGTTCTAACTAATTTCAAATTGAAGAAATTTAAGAAATTTAGAGAATTTTTACGTTACATTACAGAAATTTTATTGAATATTTACATATTGCACAGTACGATAGAAAGAAATCTTTTATATCGATACTATTGTACGATTATCGAGTTTTCATTGCTAAAAGAAGGTCAATCATCGTTTGAGTAACTCATACTTATTGTTAGACATCTGAAAGCATGTACACCCTCTTACACGAAGGAAAGTGTTCTTTTAACGGAGTTTATTCTTAAGGTCTCCTTAAAGTCTTAGTGGGTTGAGTAAGAGCCCGCTGAAGTACTACATACGCTCATGTTATCTACTTTCTGATAAATTACAGATTCGTAGACAGAATTATAGTTGGAACGAGGGACACGCTTATAACAATCCATCTTTAAGATCATTCCATGTCACGGACATACTACAATTCCTAGCAAAAAGTGTTCGAACACCTCTTAAAACGCATTTCTTTTTTAAAACTTGACTAAATGATCTGATTTTTTGTTAAATGTTAGAGCGACTAATTTACTGTACAATGACTAAAATACCGTTTCTTAATTTTGCTATTGCTTGGAATGACAAAAAGAATAAAAAATATCTCGTTCTTTAGCTTCTTTATCTGAACATGGAACGAAAATTTAAAAAATGCGTTTTGTAGATCACGGTAACTTATGTGCATACTGAAAAAAGAATAAAGTTTCGTATGA